GATGATAGATTAGACAGAGATGATAGCTAGCTAGCTAGAGAGATAGAGAAAGAGATCATGATAGATAGAGATAGAGATAGATAGATAGATAGATAGATAGATAGATAGATAGATAGATGATAGATAGATAGAGATGAGAGAGATGGATATATAGAGACACACACAGAGAGAGATGGATAGATAGAGAGATGAGAGAGATATGGATAGATGATTGATAGAGATAGATAAAGGATAGTGTAGATAGGTAGATTATTGGTAGAAAGATGATAGATAGATGATAGAAAGGATAGATAGATGAGAGATAGAGAGATAATAATAGAGATATGGATGGGTGGATGGATATACAGATAAACAGATAATCAGTAAGATAAACAGTGTCATTCTATTTCCGTTGAAAGGTACTTAACCTTCCTTCTGGGGGTGACCATTGCTATTGTGGTGAACGCTGTGATTGTCCTCAACGTTTCTCTGCGCACGCCCAATACTCATTCGATGTCCGAGCGAATCCGGCAGGTGAGTCCAAAGGAGGCTCTGCTTTCCACCTTCATGGGATGCGTGTTGGGCCTTCTCCTCCGTGTTCCCAGGCTTTCATTTTATTTTGGGTACCGTTAAGTCAAGCTTGGCTGGGTGGGGTCGGTGGGGTCGATTTATTTACATTCATTGATCTAATTAAGAGGTCCCTTGATTTGAAATGACAGCCTACACCAGGGATGTCCAAACTTGGCAACTGGGCGGGTGGAAAATGGGCTTTCGAGAACTACCGGAAGTCCAGAAACAAGTATCAGCTTTGGAAGCCATATTGAGATCCGATGCTCCCACGCTGCCAAACGATTGAGCCCGGGAAAGTGGAAGGAGGGGGGGTGGAATTCATTGGAGTATATCGAGTTAGACAAAATAAGATTCTTTTGCTGTTTCAAGGTCACGTAGTGTTGCAACGTAGTGAAAAGGAAGTCTTACTTTGGGATGGATGGATGATTGGGCCATGTGATGCAGGACGGATTTATAGTTTTTAACTTTTGCAAGGAATTCCCGAAACTTTCAGATTTGGGATTCGACGGATGTACCAGTTACTCTCCCAATAAAAGGAACCTTTCAGAAATGTCTTGTCTCGGAGTGATTAGTTGGAATGGAAGTTTGCTGGAACGTTGACAATGACCCTGTTTCCGGTTTCTGGAGAGCCTTCGGAGCCTGGGGGAGGCTGTTTTCACCCTCCCTGAGGCCCGAAGGAAGCCTCCAGACTCTGGGGGAGATAAAAAGCACCCCTTCCGAAAGTTCTGGGAGGCCACGCCCACCATGGCCACGCCCACTCAGCAACCGGGCAGCGAACCAGTTGCTGGGATTTTTTTAATCCCTCCCCTGGTCGTAAGTCACCGTTTTTACTTTGAACGGTCAGTAAATGAGCTCTTGTAAGTCGAGGAGTTCCGTCTCTTCCCATCTCTTCCCTGCTCCCACTCCAACCCCCCCCCATGAACAAATGGAAAGTTTTTCCTGGCGTTCCTCTCTGCTCCCGCTTCCCAACGTGTCTCGATGCCCGGCTCCGTAGCTCTTCCTGCACCTGGTGCCCCATTACCTGGGCATGCACATGAGGCGCATCTCGCTCCCCGCTGGGAATCGGCTGGCGCGGCGACGGAGCTCCCTGGGGCTGATGGCCAAAGCCGAGGAATACATGCTGTGGAAAGCCCGGAGCGAGCTCCTCTTCGAGAGGCAGAAGGAACGGGACGGCCTGATGAAGATCCTCCTGGCCAAGATTGGTGAGCTTCTGGCAGGACGGAGGGCAGCCTGGCTGGGGGAATGGGCAACGGGGTGGGAAGGTCGGAATAGATCTGATCCAAAGAATGGAATGGAATGGAATGGAAT